CATATTGTTATACTCCTGACATAATCGTTGCACGTGCATACCATGAGGTAATCGGATATCCCAAGGGACACAATAGAGCATATGTACTTATAAGCTGAATCATTATTCAGTTGATTAAACCAGACGTGATTTATAAGATACATTCTCGATTTATTACACATATCTTCAAAGTTAATACCACTGTTTACTTGCTTTTGGACCTGGAAACGTGTGGTTATTCACTCAATAAAAAGACCATTAATTTTTTTTCTTGATTATTGACATAATGTGTACCTCATTTTCGCGTTATGATATGTCGCGACACTTATTTTTCGTGTCGCGTTAATGTCTCGATAATTTCTTCTTGAAATTCGCGAAATGAACGTGTCCCGAAAATTGCATGTAAATAGGTCGTATGCTATTCAACTACAAGTAGCTCTTAACGGGGTCAAAAAAAGAATGGTTGTGAGAGAACTTCGGAGTAATCAAGACCAAGGCACTCTGCATGGAAATACTGGGTGCAACCATCACAGCCCACCCAGTCTTCTCCATCATCATCACGGCAAATCTTACAACATTAGCGTTTCTGGCGGGAAAGGTTTATCGATTCACGTATGACCATGTCAAATGTCCCGTGCGTTTTCGTGATGCCTAAACAACACACGTACTTTAAAGGTGTGTCCGCTGAAGACCCCACACTCCGCCCGGGCGTTAATTTTTCCCTTTTCTTATTCAGCAATGTTTGACGGGAAATAAACTCAATCCAAACCCCCTCATACTAAAGTAGAGCCTTGAATAAATTTATTTTCTCGCGCGAAAATTAAGAAGCAGACCAGAGAGATCTGTATACTGATAGTGCGTCCGTTGAACTGTGTTTTCAGCTGGGAGAAAAAGCCCTTTTCAAGTACGATTTGCCTAGATCTTCCCTTTTAATTAATGCAAGTGGTTTAAGCTACATTTTCCAAAATGTCCGGATATCTTGGACGATTACAAAGAAAGCCAGTTTGAGCGGACATTGAAGCTTAATACAGAATGTCCCTTGCATTACATCAGACAGTAAATTGCTATAAGTCGCTCTGCCTTAAAAATACCAAGAGATCTGTTCAAAGTTGTTTTTCTTTTGCTCTTTTCTCCATAAAGAAGGTCCACAGAACTTGAATCGTTCAATATTTTATATGGAACTTGTCCTGACCGCTATCTTTGTTTTCATCCAACTGCAATCCGTTGACAATAAATGCGGGAGCAAAATGTCCTCGATTTCTGGCGATAAAGTAAACACGTAATTGTAGCGGGAAAGTACCCTTTAAACACAATATTTAATTCATGGAGAACTTTTAGAAGCAAAGAAGCAGATATTTAACATGAAAGTCAACGCACAAAGTAAAAAGAACTAGGTGGTCTATTCAATCTTTGCAAAGAGTGCAACCATAAGGCAAATTTAAGATTGTCAATCAAATATGATTTATGCCATTGCTTGTGCAAGTTTTAGCTAAGTCAGCAAAACTATCTCTTCCAAAACAACACGCTTTAGTGCTAAATTCGTGTTAGCTGACGGTGCCTTTGTGCTTTGCAAACAAGAAAGCAGAACACAAAGCAGGCATGTGTTAACTTGCAAAAGGTAGAAAAAAATTCCCTGACGACGTTTCTAATCTCGACAGATGATATCAAAATATTCCTCACGAAGGTGAGACATATTCTTTACTACAATCTGATTGATTATTGATACATCATAAAAATGTGCCAATCATATTGCTTTGAGATACACCAAATAAAAAAAGTGGACCAATCAGATTGCTTTGAGTTACACCAAAAATTGCGTCAATCAGATTACCTAGAGATACACCAAAAATTCTGGCGGCAATCTGATGAGTGCGAGCTACACACCACTCCACGCTCTCACTTTTCAGGCTTTCATTTTCCTGTGAGGTAGTTCACCTACCAAAGTAAGTCTTTTTTTTAGTCTTCCTCAAGTTGTTCTCGGTAAATCAGTGTCAATATGTGATTCACATCAGTACCCTGGATCTTTTAATGCACAATTGTGATAGCTCGTATGATCACAAAATATTCTTTCAAACTTCATCCGTTCGACATTATTACTTGTGTTATTGTCTACTGGACTGCTTGTCTCACCTCGCTAATCTTCCACCAGTAAAGCAAAGGGTTTAAAGAAGCGTTAAAAAAGCTCAAGCAGTCGAAGTTCCTCTGATTGCATTGAGCAGCAATTAATATGTTTCGCTGTAAATCAGAATTATATCTCCCACATAACGAGGTATATTGCAAACAACTAATGCTAACTGCACCCACACTGCACTGTACACCGTCTTACCAGGGGCAGATCCAGGGGAGGGGTTGAGGGGGTTGCAACCCCCCCTTTGAGCAGCATTTTAATTTTTTTTAATTCTTCTTTAAAAAAAATAAGAACAAAATTGTCTTTTACGAAGTTGTTTCACTTCCACCATTCACCTGCTTTTGCGGATTTAAAAAGATAATATACATTTCGCAACTTCTGTCAGTGTGGGGGATCAGTTACTTGGGAGAAAGTCTTATTAGGATCGCGTGACGTCCTCAGGGTCATATATAATAGGAACACAGGTGAAATTCATTCAAGCGTAAACGAGCGGGATTGGGACCGAGCGAATGTTTGAGTCAGTTGCTGAGGTCGAAGAACGTACGAACTGGAAGCTGTCATGAAGAAAATAACCGATTTTTATGCGAAGAAATCAGGTAAGTTCGTGTTTTTTTTTTTTAAAAGACGGTTAATTATATTTAATAACAATAATAACTACTTTCAACACCCGATAGCCTTGACATACCGTGCAATTCATACAACAGATACAAAGTGTATTTTTCATTGTCCACCAGTTGAAAGCTGACTGGCAAGAAAATCATGTCTTTTGAACATAAATAAACATTTTGCAGGTTCAGCCCAATCGAGGCCTGAAGATAATGAAGGTATTAATGAAGGTAAGCAGAAATAAAATTGTTCTTAAACGGAGACAGAGAAAATAATTTATTATACTTCACTACGTGAACTGTCATTATAATTATAAACACAGAAAGCTTCGACATCCGATAGCTTCGACACGCGATAGCTTCGACACGCGATAGCCTCGACATACCGTGCAATTCATACAAAGTGTATTTTACATTGTGCACCATATTGAAAGCTGACTGGCAAGAAAATCATGTCTTTTGAACATAAATAAACATTTTGCAGGTTCAGCCCAGTCGAGGCCTGAAGATAATGAAGGTATTAATGAAGGTAAGCAGAAATAAAATTGTTCTTAAAACGGAGACAAAGAAAATAATTTATTATACTTCACTAAGTGAACTGTCATTATAATTATAAACACAGAAAGTGCTCCTCCTAACAAGCAGCCAAGAATCAGCAACCCTGACGATCAGGCTGGAGGGTCTGGGATCGAAGGTAGAATTTCTTATTTTTATTTATCCGAAAAGTAAACTTATATCGGCCAGCACCAACAAAAAGTATTTATTCCAACGTTGCAAGAAGTCTAGTGAATTCCAAATAAAACTGACTAGTATTATAATTTCGTTTTGTACACAGCTTTGCCCGATGAAGTATTGGTCGAGGTGTTTAAAAACTTCTGCCTTAAAGAATTGCTTAAAACAGTGTGCCTGGTCTCAAAGAGGTGGAGGCACATTATAAACAACAATAACATTCTGTGGAGTTGCCTACTTCTTGATGAGTGGCCCATGCAATATTTAAATGAAGAACAAATTGTTAATTTCATGTCGCACTCCAGTGGGTTCAGATATTTATCTATAAGATATATCGAAATAACAACATCAGAAAGGAGGCTTCAAACATTGTTAGGAGATAGTCTGGGATTTTCTAAACGTTTGAGATATCTGGATTTAAGTGGCCAACCGATATCATCCCTTAATTTCCTATTGACTGACTCTAATTCTTCTCCTCTTGAAACCTTAATCCTAAATGACTGTAGAAAAATAGATACTTGTTGTTGCACGGCTATTTTAGAGCAATTACAAAATCTTACAGTACTATCACTCAACAGAGTAGGATTCACTGCCAATCAAGTGGCAACTATTACTTCCTCATTATGCTCATTGAATGTTCTGTGCCTGGTTGGTGTAAGCCTTGAAAGAAACGACGTAAGGCTGATTTTGCAAAAATTGAACAGCCTTCAGTTTTTTGAAATATCTTGCAGTTCCGAAGATAAAGAATATATTGATGCTCTAGGGGAAGAATATGACGTTACTTTTGTCTGCCTCTAAGAGTAAAAGCATGTTACATACTATAGCGGCATAACAGTGTTATGTTATAGAAAATAGTTTGTCATTTAGTGAAGGTATATATAACCAAGACATTTTTCATGTGACCTGTAAAGTACAATAAAAGCAGGCTATTGTATTTATTTAATGCATGTGTGTCAATTTTATTGAGGTTATTGCAAATAGATAAAGGACTAACCTATTAAAAGTTGTGAATGTATACAAATAAACTCTTTTTGTAAATTTTAGATGTAGCTGCAAAATGTCCTGTGCCTACCACTTCTGGTTCAACCACAGGCACAAAGATTGATTTGGGAACTGTTGTCAAAGATGCTGCAGGCTCTTGGGATGTTTTGAGGCGATTATCGCACGAAATTACAGATGAAAAAAGAATGCAATACCTTACATTACACTGCAAACCTTCTGAGTCTGATATACTTCATTCTCATCAAGTTACCAAAGGAAAGAAGACATGGAAAGTTTCTTTTCAATCGAAATGGCTGAAACAGTTCCCATGGCTTTGCTACAGCTACATACTTGAAGGTGGGATTTGTAGTCACTGTATCTTATTTCCTAACAAAGTTACCAAGGGTACAACACCAGGTGTATTGGTCACAGTACCGTACCAGAAATCTTACACTAAGGCACTTGGCAAGGATGGCATCCTCAACTGTCATGAGCAATCTGCGATGCATAGATACGCAACTGAACAGGCAGACCTCTTCAAACAAACTTTTCAGAATCCTGAGAGGTATAGAGTAGATTCCCAGCTGGCGACGGCCGAAGCCAATCAAGCCACAGAGAACAAAGAAATTCTACGACAGATTGTTCTAGCTGTTGAGTTTCTAGCAAAGCAGAGTCTGTCCTTTAGAGGACATCGTGATGATCGTGTCGATTTTTCAAGTTATGAAACTAACAGAGGAAACTTTGTTGCTCTACTTCAATTACTTGCGAAAGGAAACGAGCCTCTTCAGAAGCACCTCATGTCAGCAAGCCGACAAGCAAGATATACCAGCAAAACTATTCAGAATGAGGTCATTCACGTGTATTCATCAAAAATTAAGGAAAGGCTGACAGCAGAGCTGAGGGACAAGGGCCTCCCTTTCACGATTATAGCAGATGAGGGTACAGATCCACACTCAAACCAGGAGATCTTATCTTTATGCCTGAGGTTTGTGGACCAGTCTTCGCCAAACGATCCTCATGTCAAAGAATGCCTGATTAGTTTTATGCACTTACAACGAACAAATTCCACCATGATTTCAAGGAAGATTTTGGAATCTCTCTCTGATCCATCTGTTTCTTTGGATCCTAGCAACATCCGTGGTCAGGCATATGATGGAGCTTCTGTTATGTCAAGTGGAAAGGAAGGAGTGCAGGCTAAGATAAAAGAGTTCAGTCCGTTGGCTCTTTTCACGCACTGCTATGCTCACTGCCTAAACCTCTCCATCGCAGCAACATGCAAACTGGCAGAAGTGCGAAATTTGATAGGTCTGATTAACGAAGCATATCTTTTTTTAAATAACAGCCCGAAGCGACAGCAGCTGTTTGAGTTGACACTGAAAGAATACCTTCCTGAGAATTCTCACAGCAAGCTTCCAGGTCTATGCAAGACACGCTGGGTGGAAAGGCACACATGTCTAGATGTTTTTCTTGAAATGTATGAGATTCTTCTCACATTTCTTGATGCTATTGTTGCCCCCCACGAATACCCGAATTTAAAATCATCTACTGGAAGCTGGAACTGGGACAAGGATACCATCACAAAAGCCCAGGGACTGAAAGCCTCTTTGTCGTCATTTCAGACAGTAGTGGTTTTCATTACAACCAAGAATATTCTTGATGAAGTCAAAGCTCTTGCATCAAAGCTGCAGAAACGGGACCAAGATATTTATGAAGCATACATGATGGTTGATGAAGTAATTGGAAACATCAAGTCTGCTAGAAAAAACATTGACAGCGACTTTAAAGTGTGGTACACAGAAGTATTAAACCTTGCCGAGAAACTGGGAATCGTGGAAGCCGTACCCAGGAAGACAAGCATACAGAGGAACCGCTCAAACATTCCCAGCTCTAGTCCAATTGATCATTATAAAAAATCTGTGGCTATTCCCCTCCTTCATTCCTTGATTAGTCAAATGGAAGACCGGTTTTCTGTCGAAGACCGCCACGCACGCCACTTGCTTTATCTTGTTCCCTCAATCATAGTTCAAAACACCATGGAGCTATCTGAAGCAACAAAAGGCATGCTGTTCTGGGAGAATGACCTTCCTTTTCCCAAATCCCTTGGGAATGAGCTGCGAAGATGGCAAACTATGTGGCAGTCAACAGAGAAGGACCTCCCAAACAATCTTTTATTGGCACTTGGCGCGTGTGACGAGGATGCTTTTCCAAACATCCATCGTCTTCTACTCATCGCATGCACCCTACCAATCAGTAGTGCGGAAGCTGAGCGGTCCTTTTCGCTCATGAAACGGATCAAGACCTGCACCAGATCAACGATGTCTGAAGAGCGCTTCTCAGACCTTGCTGTAATTGCGATGCATTACCCTGAGAGATTCGAGGTAGACGAGATCTGCGAGGCTTTTGTAAAAGCCCATCCAAGAAGACTTTTTCAGGCTTCGTTGTTTGATTAATGAGGTATGCTAATGCAGTAGAAAAACGACAACAACTGCTGGACAGTTCAATCATACATTATTATTTTTTAATTTCTGTCTGAGAAATAAGATTAATCCCAGATTTTATATCATGCCTTCACAAAATCTAAACATCATATTTTTGGGGGACAGGTATGACACTGGAACTGTTAAGAGCTCACGCCAGAGGCATGGGGCCATCACTCGCCTTCTGCCATTGGCGATAAAAGTGTACTACAATAATGTACAAACGGGCCGCCGCAAGGGTTTCAATAAAAGCCGGTTACCGGCGGTTTACTGCCGCCTGTCATGCCTCTTTCAGCCGTCTATTCACAGTTTGTAATTCTTAGTCTCTCTTCTACTAGAACTAAACTAATAAGTAATGCAAGAAAGCAACGGAAGAATTCTAGAACGGAAGACAACGTCAAAAAAAACACTCTTTCCAACCTTGAAATACAGGCTACAACAACACGCCTTTTGATGCCCAGAATGCTGGAAATTGCATTTCCGAGCTTCTAGATTTCAAATTTTTCTGGGGGGGCATGCCCCCAGACCCCCCTAGTTGGAAGGGGCCTTGCGGCCCCTTCTAAATCACCGACATCTGTACAACCCCCCCTTTCAGAAAATCCTGGATCCGCCCCTGATAAAG